CACACACACACACACACACACACACACACACACACACACACACACACACACACACACACACACACACACACACACACACACACACACAACCTTCTCCCCTCAGTGAGCCTTCAAGCCTCTTTCGTTTCCTCACTATCAGGTCCTCAGGGGGAAGGGAAACCCATGAAATGATTCCTGACACGACGGATCACGGAGCAGCGCTGGTTAAGCAGTCTGATATCAACACTTTTCTGCCTGACTGTGGACAAGCAAGGCAGGGGGATTTGCAATGATATCCCCCGGCTGTAGCTCTCGCTGTGTCTGCTCCGCCGACTGAAGTTACTTGTGCCAGCCCACTGTGCCAGCTAACCCACAGAAAACGCTGTCACATGGAAAACCGGCAACGCCGGTCTTAGTGTTCCTTTCTTTAAATCCATTCTCTCAAACGGAAAGATTACATCATGTTTCACGACTCATTCTCATTGAAGTTTACTGAACCTGTTTTTTAAAGTAAGTGTTAGGGTTTGTTTCTCTCAGCTGCTAAAGAGACTTTTTGGACATACAAGGTTTTCAACTGGAAGAACGTTGAGAGCACATCGGGTCTGAAGCGTCAGCTCGACTCACATCGCTGAACATGACTGTCAGCCTCTGTTTGGACTCTGTGGGTGAGCGCTCTCTTAAAAGATGAGGAGAACGTAGCGATCAATAGAACGAATAATAAAAGCAAAGCTCCAAAGTGTCAATTTTTATGCTTCGTGGTGGAAGCATATTCTTTTTGAATAGCAACATCCTGTATAAAACATCACACTTCGCCTTTAGACGCTGTGCATTTGGAACGAGTGAATTTGCGATTCAACCCAGTGACTTGAAGTGAGCTTGGGTGGGAGAGGCAGAATTCCTGTGACGCAATCACTTGGCAAGACGAAAGATTGTATTTAATCCCCTTTTCTTCTGTCTCTAGCCGTGTTGTTCCACACCTGATGGTGGACTAATTCCTTTAGACAATTGTGCATACACAAACATGTACCGCAAACGATGAAACCGTAAGAGCAAGACAGGGAAGGACAGAGAGATACAGTGCATTAGCATGAGGGAAGAAAATCGCTTGTAAATACCTGCTGACTCCACTGCGAACCTTCCTATGCAGAGCAGCTCTCACACTGTGAGTCCTCCACAGAGCTCAGATCTGACATGAACAGCAACAAAGTGCTTTCTGTCAGTGTCAACAGTGTTTGATGGTTTGGGAAGGCTGATCATTAGCATGCCGAGATGCTCAGAGGTGAGAGCCACAACAATATTGGCAAATTTGGAGTCTCTGGTTTCTGTTTCAGTTCAACTCATTATTTTGATATTTCCGAGGAAGTCTGATCAAAGTTCCGATTCAACAGATCGTCTCTCTCTCTCTCTCTCTCTCTCTGCTCATCATGTATGGCCCTCAAGGAGAAATCAACCCCAAGTGCTGAAGAAATGCAGCAAAAACATAACACGGTATCAAAAGTTTCCTCCCATGTATCTATTTGGAGCAGTGGAGCGTCAACGGGGAAGTGCTACTTCTTCATGAAAGACGAGGATTTAGTTCTTTCACACTCTGAGGAGTGTATTGTTTCAGAAATATGAAGGACTTCTTTGTTATGCAACAAGAGATAGTTGTGACATATTTTTCAAGTGTATCTTAAAGTTAAATCCTAGATTCCTGTTACATTTCACCGTTTAACGGCAAAGCAGGGACAAAATAGAAACAGCAGACAGCAGAAATGCTCCATCAGGCAAAGACGGAACAGATTCTGGGTTTGATGTTACCTTCAAGGATGACTTCTTTGCCAGTTTTCTTCAGCGCCTGCACAGCCTCGTCGTGAGTGGCCTCCCGTAAGTCATAACCGTTGACGGACAATATGGCGTCACCGACATAAAGCGCCTCAGTCTGGTCAGCGGCCAGGCCTTTGAAAATCTTGGAGATGAGGATTGGCATCTTGTTCTCCTTCCCACCTGCATGACAAGAGGGGGAAAAAGCTGCTTTAGCTGCACATTATACATACATTCACGTTTGCAAAAGTGTAACCCTAAACCTCAGCTATTGACCCCTGATCAGCTTTACCAGAGCAGCTGGGAATTAAGTTATTTTCTACTTCCACAATCCATGCAAAGTGCAAGTGCTTATGCTAAGAGCTCCGGTTCACTCACAAAAAAAAATCAAATATGGCATGATGTTTAAGTCTGTGGAACATGGCGCTGGGATGAAACGCCAACTTCAGACTAGACGGTGCAGTTTCCAACTCGCAGCGAAGAAGACGATACCAGAAATAATGACTGACAGTGAAACCCAAGACAAAGATACCAGCTGAATGTACTGTGAAGATACAGTGCATGTTGTCCAGTAACTGCACGTCATAGATACACAACGTTGCTCTGCAGCGAGAACACTGCACACTTGTTTTGATTCCAACCACTGCAATCCTCAAGTGACGACAGAGAGCATCTGAGGACAAACACCGACAGCAGCGATTACCCCGTGGTACTAAATTCCGCAGTTTCCCATCTCTCCCTCTTTCTCTTTCTCTCTCTCTCTCTCTCTCTCTCTCGTTACATGAAGGTCAGCTGGTAAGCTGATGGATCTGCCTTTTGCTGTGGGCTTCCACTCTCCATAAGAAATATCGCCATTGATGTCAGCCGGCAGTTGGACTCCGGCCTTCAGGCTACTGAGAAATGATCTGAAAGAGGATGACGTTTAATTAATTTGAAATACATCTTCCACAGGTTGCTTCCTCCGGGTGATTACTTTGGATTTGACTCATTGTATCTTCTTTCGGAGGCCACTGCCTGGTGCTCTTCATACATTTTTTTTTTAAAACCACATACTCGTATCATGCATGGCAGTCACTATGCTGATCAGGTTAGCGAAAGAGGGATTTACGAGCTACTCCACCGCTCTGTGACATCAGATGTTGTTTTTAAAGTGGAGATGAGGTGAAAGGGACCTTCGGCAATAATGGTGGTCACCAATATATATGTCGTCAAAACTTGAATCAGAATATCGACTAAAATCATGAACGTGAATAACAGTTCTGAATCATTAAATACAGTAGATGTACTGGAATTTGGCACAGGGACATGAGGGCGATCTGCAGAATGTCCCACGATGAATACGACCATATAAAGTTCTGCACAGTGCACATGTCTTGCAATGGACAGTAGTCCGTACATTGCATACTTCACTGCAATCTGTCAAGCACCAATATTCGGACTCTGTTCAAATAACGTAGCACACAGTTAGCTGGAACTGTCGGACGGGAACTGAATTACTACAAAAGAGCAATTTTTGGAAACTGCTCAGCACCCGAGAGGGACCTGAACCTCCAAACTGAATACTGCTAATCAGTGAGGGAGAGTGGTCTGGCCATGCCTAACTGAAACCCTCTAGAGGGACCTCGTTGTGATTCTGACTGCTCGGCATGGATGAACCTGCAGAAGGACCAAAAAGGAATGAGCACAGCGTTTTTGACACAGCTGGGGCGGTCCTCTACCAAAGACATTCTGAGTCGACCGACGCTAATCGATTAGTTGGTTTAATCGAAAGATCTGTAAAACTGACTTTTTCCACAAAGAATCACACAAAAGCACCAAAAAGTAAGTCAGCATAGCAAAAACATAAAAAACGACTAATCGTCAGAAGAAACAATACCGAAACAACCGATTAGTTGACTGATCGACTAAGATGAAGCAGCCCTAGCCAGAACACCGCTAACCAATCCTATGAACTACATTTCCCTTTATATTCTGTGGCATAGTGGTTTGTGAGGAGGCTTCCATTTGGATAGAGCAATATATTATTTATTTATATATATATATATATATATATACAGTATATATATATATATATATATATATATATATATATATATATATATATATACATATAATATATTTTAGTTTTAGGCTATTTTCAGATCTGCAAAAGTTGGTGATCGTTAGGGTTAGGGTTCGGGTTAAATACCTGTGACTACTGCAGAGTCCTTTTTCTCTGGAATAAAAGCTGATTGTAACCTTTCCCACTGAAGGCAAAAGCCAGATGTTAGTGGTTGTTATTAAGTTATTTATTTGTCTGTTGTTGTTGTCATCACTATATCTTAGGTAAAGCACTTTGAACTATACTATAGGTGCTGTAGAAATAAAGTTGCCTTGTGGTACCTTGTAGAATTGTTTGTAACAAAGGGAGATTGTTTTATTCGCTTCGTAAGCAGAGCTTAACTATTTGGCTCTGTAGGAAGAAGCGGTAGACTGTATTTATTTACAACGCCCTCGGGGAGTAATTGCAACTCTACTACTGTGGACTTCCTGTGGAATTGTTTTGCTGAGGAACTGTTGGTCAGATCCGCGCTCTCTGAAATCCTGAAGCAGCAATTGATCCTGTGAAACAAGCAAAGACCAAATGTTTTTATGGGTGATAAATCACACATTCCGCAGCTGTGAGGAAAACTCAAGTTTTCTGATTTGGCCACATACTGTCAACACGATGCACCCTGAGGAACAAGTTACATTAACGGGGATAAAGTAGACGTATGCAGTGACGCCATCCGGGCTTTTTGGAGCAAATCATCTCCCAGTAGGTCAGCAAAAGAGACTTTCAAACTCAAGCGGTAAACAGACACTGTAGTGAACCACACAAAGTATCTGTAGTAAAAACTACAGCACACACTACAGTACATTACTGTTAAGTGAGGCTCACAAATGCAGGGTAGATGTGGGGTCTTGCCGACTTGAACAGTCAGTGCCAGTGAAGGAACATGTCCATTAAAACACGACATGCTAATACCTCACGTAGCAAACCCATGAAAGGTGGAAGTTGATGTGAAGGATCTATTTAAAGTGAATGGTCGGACAAGCGAGCCAAAGAGCGGTCTCGTCATTTGATAGGACGAGACCGCTAGGTAGGACATAGATAGGAGATAAATAAATCAATGAGGAGACTAAATTACTTGATTTTTTTTTTCCGACCTCCTGCTTTGCCAAAGAGGGCCAACACCAGTGACAAGTACTGCACACAGTACCCCTCTTCCACCTATATATGTCCTTTCTAGTTGTCTTCCTCTCTTGGCATACCTTCAGGTTTACTTGAAACACCGTGTACTGACAAGGCAGCTGGATAAACATTGTTGACATACTGTAGGAAAAAACACGGTCAACACATCTGCCACTCCTACACAGCCCTGAATCCACCCATGTTCCCTGCCTTTCTTCTTTTTTTCCTCACAACTTTTTTCGTGTCAAACACAGTTCAGCACCCTCCAGCTGGGCAGCCCGTCACTCCGCTGACAGGAGCTGGTGGTGGGCGGGGGAGGGGCGGAGCCACCGGAGCTCCCCGTGACAGGTGAATGAACGGCACACTGACATGTACCTAATTAGGTAACTCTGTGTGCTAACGATGGGTTTGTTGTGATAACGCTCCTTTCAAAGAATTCAGCACGATCAGCACTTTACTTCAACAGACTTCATCAGCTGATATGCGTGCAGGGCTAATGAGCAAAAAAGACCTACCACAAACCTTCACAATACGGTGGTTAAGTATTCCTGATGAGCGCGCAGAGCCACTTAGAGGGAGAATAGCTTTTTTTAATAATAGATTTGTTACATAACAATGCACCAAATGTTGTCTATTTGCACATCTGAGGTGTACTGTGACAAGAGAGGTTATCAAAATATGTTTGCCCTAAAAATCCTAGCATTGATTTGAAGTTGAAGTCATTACGTCACACCTATCTGAAATTTAGAAAACAAAAAACACACTGGGATTATTTAAACAATGTGGGGGAAGCTATTTAATCCAAATCCTGTTTTGGGGGTACTGTCGCTGCGGTAAAAACCCACCAAACTCACACCAAAGTGTTACACCCAGCTCTGCTTCACTCTCACCAGTGGGCCTGTCGACAGAGATCTGGAGCTTCACTTCCTGGCCTCTCCTCTTAAATTTAGACATGTGAGAGGAGGGGTCGACTGCCTCCATGCTTTTTTCTGCACGTCGGGGTGGGCTCCCTAAAATTAACACGAGTGGAGTGGTCCATTCCCAGCCACATAGCTTTCATCTTTGGCCAATGACAACTGCTTGCTGCGTGCGGGTAGCTCCTCTCAGCTGTTCACAATGTGGTGTCAGCTAGCCCACAACAACTTTGCCCTGTTCTTTCATTTGCTTCACCCCGTTTCTCTTTGACACTGTACTATTTATTACTCCGTTCATTATTTATTGTTTTCTTCCTTTCTACTCATTTGACCTCTTGCTGGCTTGCTTCAGGCTCATTTTTCTTCAGATATGGCTTGCTTTGTTGGTGCCTTTCTCTTTTTCTTTCCCTCTGCTAGACCCTATCTCTTCTTCACTGCCTTTGAACAACGGGCATCACAACAATGTCAAGCCGGCAGGGTGCCAGCAATGATTTTGTTTTAATAACATGCTGTCTGATTTTCAAAAGCCACCCGTTTCCACAAAGATGGACGTTACATTTAAGTCATTAGGGGCTGGCTTTGTTGTTGTTGTTGGCGGCAGCAGCAGTGGGAGGGGAGGGGGGGTAAAAATGAACATGTCACCATCTTTGCAACATGACAACGGTGCTAGTTCAAGGCTGTCCATCAAATGGACTGTGTGCAAGGCAAGTGATAACCCGTCAATACACAATACTCAAAAAATAATGTTAGACTATATTGCTCAGACGGCATTATCACTGTGCTGTCCATTTTATCTTTTGTATCTATTTGCATGGCTCCCTGTGCTCAGCCCTCCTAGTCTTCCTCACACGTAGATTTTCACTGAGATAGCAGCCTGTTGCTGCAAGTCGAAGGAAAAGGCTTTAATCTGCTGCTGAACAGTATAGCGCAAGTATGTAAACCTGGATTGTAAGATACCTTTTCCTATTGAGAGGTAATAGAAGCAATGCTGGTGTGACTGTGACCCAGCGGCAGTGTGGGGCAGATGCATCTGTGCTCATTGACAGGCTAAGTTAATAAGCAACCGAAATAGTTTATATTCTGTAAAAACAGTGATGTATTTTCTATTTTTTTCCGTGACTACACTTTCATATAGTGCTTTAATAAGTAAGCACCCTTAGGAAATGTGGCTGAAAATGTAAACTATAAGTGTTATAACACAAAGCAGTTAATGTGTGTTTGTCTTGGGACCCTGTTGGAGTTAGCTTAGGTCTTTTCTCAACTTCAACATTACTCTCTGTTAGTTTGTGTGTGTGTGTGGGGAGCCACGCTGTCAAAGACCAAACCCGACGTTACACCACAGCAGCTGAAATGCCATCTCCGGCGGTGACTCTTGAAATGGTTCCCCGTTCAGGTGAGTCACAGCGTGAGATAATCACAGCTGTCAACTTTTCTCAGCGCAAACAACAGCCCTGAATTCTCTTACGGCTGAGCTAACATACGAATAAGATATTTGTCTTGACTAAATATCACAGACACGTGAAATGTATCGCACGTATGTGAGGGTTTAGCTCCACGGTCAGTCTGAAGTTAGCTAACGTTAACAGGCGACGGATGTGTTTTCGCAGTCGTTGTCAAACTGCACTCAAACTCCTAACTAGCGGTAACTTGTGCTAACTGGCGCTGACTCGCCGTCCATGGAGTTAGCCGCTTGGAAAGGTTTTATTTGAAAGTGTCTTACCTTTGATACTGATTCCGAGTCCCCCAACATCTTGCTTGGTAACTCGCACGGTGCGCTTCACGTTGGTGATGGTTTCTGGGACCGGGGACAAGCTTAGGTTCGGGGGGTCTCCGTTGATCGCGCCGGCGGGACTCGGGCTGGGCTTGGCGGGCTGCTCGACGCCCTCCCCGGGGTTAACCGTGAGCATGTCCTCGGTAAGAGTGGCCAACACCCGGATCCAGCGGTCCACGGTCACTCGGAGTTCCAGCAGTCCCGTTTTCTGCGCCTTCATCGCGGCAGCCATGTTCAACGCATTCCTCGAATAACTGGAGACGGGCTGGCAGTCCTGTAAAGAGATAGGGGGGGTGGAGGGATGGAGTAGGGGAACACACACTCGCGCGCACACACACAAATTCTCTCTTCCCCGACTTTGTCCCACTGCAAAGAGGTTTATCCAGCAGTAAGAAGTAAAGTTAATTGAGGGTGATACGATTAGCAACGGTGTTGACACACTCAAAGTTCAAACAGCTTCTTGTTGAGTCCCTCCATTAATGAACTGTGTGCGGTTGGGTCGCACATAATTAAGTTTTGATACTTTTTATTATTTATTTAAAGTGCATTGAACCACCCGGGCTCAGATCACAGATCTAATTTGCAATGTGCCCAACAGACACAATTGCTGATATATATATATATATATATAAAATATAGGCCTATACAGGCGGTCTGTCATGAGGAAAAATAAAATGAATAGTGCTTCCAAAGCCAGATATACTGCTCCAGTAGATAGAGCTCACATCAGGCATGAGATCCACACATTCATCTTCAGTTCGAACTGTGCAGACAGGAAACATGCTTAACCTAATTATAACACATTGCTCCACGAATCTCTCATCTTGAAAGACAGGAGGCCATGCTTTATTTGTTCTTGTTCAGCATGTAAAGAAAACAACTCATATGTACGGACCATGACAATTCTGGGTTGTGGCGTAGACTTCTCCTGAGTTAAACTGCTTGTGGAAAGTAAACCCTCCAACCAACACACAGCAACATCTTAATATAAGGTAGCCAAAGGTCAAGCATGGTGTTCTTTAAAGGGTGGTTAGCCCCAAAGCTTTCCTCCATATAGGGACCAAATGAGTTGGCAGTGCAGTGTATGAGCCCTGAATCAATACTGGCCACAGTCACAAACCAAAAGGACCTGGTGTGTCGGACGGAGTTGCATAAGAGTAAGGAGAAAGACTTCAAGAGACAAAACAATACATATACTTTGTAGTTATTGGCTAATAAGTTAGTTTGCTGTTGGTACTCTTTGAATTGGTGCCATTACTGTTTAGGTCAGTAGTTTGGTGCACATCAGAGCTACTCATCTGAGAAACACATGCATGTAGGCCGAACTCATGGCACAGAGCTTTGGCAACAAAAAAAAGTCCTCCAAATCACATGGCATTATTTTGTGATTATTTGAAAAATACACATTAAATAACTTCCTCGAGCCAGTTCTTATTTATTTATTTCCTTTATTTTCTTCCATCAGTCTGATCTATCAAGCAATTCCATTTATTTTCAGTCCACAATTTAATTTGCAATATTTCTTTTTCATGCATGAATGAACTTTGAAAGAAAAACTGAAAGGTTACAACTAGAGATTTCCACAATGATATATATTTAAAACACAGCAAATGCTGTCTAATATATAGGTTTGAAACTAATTTGTAGTGAGCCAATGATTTCAGCAGTAATACGCGATGACAAATCCATTTGGTCTTGGCCCTGACTCCAACTCAACACGGATAAGCACTGCACTGCTTCTGTGACTCAGCAGAGGTGCACTTAATTGCGCAAAGTAGACATTAACAAACATGCGTGAGTCAACGAAAAAAGCTGATGAAGCAGTCCACATTCCCAATGCTCTAGTAGTGCATCTGCAAGTCATCTGCCTGCAGCCCATCAGCTGTGTGTGTGTGTGTGTGTGTGTGTGGTGTGTGCGTGTGTGTGGCAGCCTGTGATGCATCTGCTTAGCAGCAGGTGAAAAAGCAAAGAAGTTCCAGCATCCAATTTTAGAAAACACAGGGGCTATTGCTTCCTTAATGAAAACAAGTAAGTGAAAATAGCTCTCAGCCCACACAGATGGTTTGAAGATGCTCATCTATTAACTAAACCTCCTTATAAAAGCCACTGAGCAGACACACTACGCTCCTATCAGAACTTCTGCATCCATTTGCAAGTGGCTACTTTTAATATTGAGAGGTGTTTAATTTCTCTGAGCTGAATTTCATTCATCCGTTGATACTGCACAGACAAACTGAATGTCCTGCTCAGCACAGGCTTTGTTTCTAAATCCTTTGTCTCCCTCTAGCGGTCGAATGGCTGCATTACTTCAAGACGGATACAAATTAAAATGGCTTGATGCGAAACAAGGGCATCTTTTTGAATTTGGAAAGGGATATTCAATATTTTCTGCCTTTTTTTTGTTTGAAAATCTCTTAGGAGCATGTGTTAGTTATTGTGTGATGCCTGTTTTATTGTAATAAAAAACAATAGAAATTAAAAAAAAAACAGCTAAATGGCAAAAACAAATTCTCTTTTCTCTAAAACCAGACTGAAGGATTGCCATTTATCTGACCTTGCAGACACCTTTTTCACTCACTGATTTTAATACACGTCATTTATAGATTAATCTCTTAAGCATAGCTTAAATACAATTACTCTGCAATCAACTAAAACTACATCGCACCGCAGTAATCTGTTCCAGGATTAAATGCACCACAGTTATTACATTCATACATTCAACCATATGTCCAGAGAAAAATGCATGCATTTTAAACAAACAGCTCTGCATAGAAGTCATGTCATGTAGGTCTTAAAGAATTATTCATTTTGAAAACATAAATGAAAACATTTTTACTCAATGAGTTACAGAGGCCTTGTTTTTAATTAACCTATTTTTTTCATTCAGAAGACCTCTACTCAAGCCACAACAATGATGTTCTTTACCAAAAGCAGGTTTACACATGGGATACTGTTCATAATGCTTCATAGACTATATGCAACCCTTTGGCAAGACACAAAAAGAACACTTTGGATGAAAATGTTGGGATGAATATTGTCTAGCAGCTTCAAAGAGAACACGGAAATTTTTTTCAGACTCAAATTAAGATATAAAGCGTAATATATGTACAATCTATTTGATCCTGCCTGCTGAGCCTGTTTTACCTCAGCGTTTTAGTTATAATCCACAAACGTACTGAATGGTTTAGTCTCAGCGCTCTTATCAACATTCTCCCCAGACACAGCAGGCGGCTGTTTTCAGCAACAACAAAAAAAAAAACACCAACGGTAAATCCACTGTTTGCTACCTGCCCTGCAGAAAACGGCAGACGAAAGTTATAGCGACAGCTAGTGAACACAGTGAAGCATTCAACTCACTTCCAGCTGACATTTAGCTAACTAGCCAGATAGGGAGTTGGTAGAAAAACAATCAATGTGTAGGCAGGTAAGGTTTTGCTAAAATAACAACATAACAGCTAGTTGTGGAGGTTTTGTGGCCCCCTGGCGCCATAAAAGCACATGTAAGATTCAGGCAGACCGTCTCATTTAAATATGCAAGATGGGTACAAATGACGTTAAACATGATGGCAAATCAATATATATGCATTTGTTATACGTCTCCCCATAAAGTTTCACCATTGTTGTAAAACTCTTTGTTCAGACAGAACCACTTGCATGTAGTATTTAGCACATCAGTAGAAGAAGACGAGCAAACAGCTCAGCAGTAATGAACCCGGGGGCTTCAGCGACGGTGCTTGCCTTAAGCAGTGCATCTAATGATGTTTAGCATTACGACCAAGCGTTTGACCATCTGACCTCCTGTCTGTACATCTGTCGGTCTATTCCTTTGTGATGTGAATGGCAGGTGGCCAGCCTAATTTTCACAGTACCAGGCCGTCATATATATTTTTTTTTTTTTTCAAAGCTTCAGTGAATGGAACAACAGGATTTGTAAGGATCTCTCACAGACAAAAGAATAGAATGTCATCTCACAGTAACACATTTAGAGTTTGGGGTTGATGTAATGCACTGAAAGGTTGCTTGTCATATTGAAACATATGTACCGTAACTGTGTGGACACAGTGATACTTTGTTTTGGGCTTTACTCCAGCACATTTAATGTATTGTAAACATGTTGTCGCTAGATTTTACATTCAAAATCAGAATCTCATCAAATGAGGCACAGTTAGACATTTGACTACCCAGCAGCGTGTGAAATATTTGAAATTGCCTCCACCACAAATAACAACATTAAAATGCTACTTACACATTACTGCATCGATAATATTAATCCAACAATATAAAACATATAATATGATATTCTTATTGGGACAATTTTATACAAGTATTTTTAGTACATTTTGGTGCAAGTACTCCTATTTTTTATGTAAGATTTTCAATGCAGGACTTTTACGTGAAACAGAATATTCTGCAGTGAGGTACTTCATCTGAATACTTCTTCCACCAGTGAGGTACTGCATCTGAATACTTCTTCCACTAGTGAGGTACTGCATCTGAATACTTCTTCCACCAGTGAGGTACTGCATCTGAATACTTCTTCCACCAGTGAGGTACTTCATCTGAATACTTCTTCCACCAGTGAGGTGCTGCATCTGAATACTTCTTCCACCAGTGAGGTACT